TACATTATCGAAATGATAATAAAATTACAGTTGATTCATGTTATTACATTTCAATTAAATAGAATTGCAAACACATTGTAGCAATGGAATGAAGGGCATTCTCAAGTTCTGTACAAGTGTATACCCTCCAACAAAATCACTTTTGGCTGTTTAAAATGCACCAGAAGCAGGGTTGGACATTAGCACTCACCCAGGCGAGTGTCTTAAGTGTTCGGCGAGTGCAAATCATTGATCACTCACCTGTTTGGCGAGTACGATTTTTGTCGCCAAGAAATCAATAAGATTGCAAAATAAACACTGTTTTTTACATTCCATTTTACCAAAAAAATCTCTAAACATAAACTTACCATTTCTATTTTACAAAGGTTCATACTCTGAACTGTCTAATAAATTGGTGCTGAAAGGTAACATAGACAAATATGGCTTCCTCCTAGTGATAATTACATAACCCATGTACTTAAACAAAGTGATACTGCTGGTCACCATTGAGCCATCGGTGAACATGGCGCCCAAGGAGAACAGACATGTTTACTCACAAACTGCAGTGATCTCACGAAGATTCATCAATAAAAAAAAAACTACTTGAAATATAAAGAACCTCCAATGTGTTTTCTTGGGGTTAAAAACTAGTCAAATTTTTCATTGAAGTAATAATCCTCAGTCTGCCACATGCTTGACAACGTTGTGAGTGAATAGTTTTCCTGTACTTTCTCAGCACTCTGATCAATGCATGTTCTCCCAGTAAGTTTAGAAATGGAGTAAACTGACTGCAGCCAAAATGTGGAAATATATTTCTGGAATTTCTAAAGTTATTGACGAGAAAAAAAAACGAAAGAACCCCGAAAGCTGCCCGTGATATGAGTGAATAGGAAAGGGCGGGTAAACTCTTGGGTGAGTCAAAACTGGTCCAGGCAAGTGCATTTTGAGGGTCACTCGCCCAAATGGTGAGTGCTGACAAAATTAAGTGTCCAACCCTGCAGAAGTACTCCACCTACCTTATGATTTCCTCTTGCTACTTAATTCAA